TCCGGCAGGCCTGGCCTCCGACTCAGCAGCCCACTCGTCTCACCTCCCTGAGCACAACGAGCCCCCTGCGAAGACGCACGGCGCCACCTCGCAGGGCAGACAACAGCTAGTTTACTGTTTACCAACTGGTTTTAAACAAGGAAGGTTCCCAATGCGGAAGTCGTTCAGCTGACTCCATAAGTTAATGCAAGAAAGAATACATTATTAACTTTTTCAAAACTATGCCCAATCCTTAATCTCAGTAATCTGTCTAGCTACAATTGAGAGTTGACTTTTGTGTTTTTAAACCAAGTTTTAATCGTCAGCCCTGGCCAGAGCAGTACAACCAAGAAAGGATGGACAGAGACCAAGAGCCAATGCCAGCGATTCCCCTCAGCTTCTAGAGATCATCCAGTCTGACTACGTAGCTAACAACTTCTAAAACTGACAGCAATATCAGTATCCATTTTTGTAAGCTGTGCTTCACATAATGTAGTCTGTTAAATACTACTAAGTATTCAACGCAAGAAAATAAAATCAGTTTCATTCTTCCCATTGACAGATGCTGTTTTGAAAGGGCCAACCTTCTTTGTGTTGATTATTAACTAACATACTTCTGGGGAACCTTACTAAGCTATCACTGGGAATCCCCATGGTGATCTGAACGCAGAGCCCTTCCAGGCTTACTTGCTCACAGGCTTGTCTCTGGCAACAATTTTCACGTCACTTGATATTGGTGAGTGCCGCTACCAGGGAACTCTCGTCTACCTTTGCAAGGAAGGCTGAGTGGTGTGCCCACACGTGCGTGTTGAGGGTGGGGTTGGTGTAAAAGCACAGTCAGATTGTTCCACAGGGTGTTAGTTTCCTACTACTAGTATAACAAATGAATGGGATGTAAGTGGCTTAAAACAACACAAATGTATCTTGCAGGTCTATTTGCTAGATGTCAAACTAACACAAAGCTGGCTGGGCTAAGGGCCCGATGCTGCCAGGCCATGCTCCTTCCTGTGCAGGGCAGGCAGGCTCTGGTCTGCCTTTTCTAGTCGCGCAAGCTTGCCCCTCTCCCTGGCTCATTTCTCACTTCCTCCACATTCGAAGCCAGTAACATTACATTTCCTTCACCGTTCTTCTGTAGTTAAATCCCAAACAGGGAAAGCTGAAGGGCTTTCAAAGCTTTATGCTAAAGATCCCTGTGATTACATTAGTCCCACTGAGTAATCCTCCAAGAATAACCTTCCCATGTCAACAGCAACACAATTTCTCTTTTCTATGGAAGGCAGCATAGCCAGAGACTTTAGAGGCTTGGGTTTGGGCATCTTTAGGGGCCTTGACTTCCCTCCCCACACATATGGATGGGTAAGAGTATCTGGCTAGCAAACAAGATCAAGGTTAAGAAGAAACTACCGCTGCTGTTGGTGATTTCCCAACCACTCCTTACGACAGTCAGTCCAGGGGAAACGTTGTGTGATTAAGGGGTGTAGAGAAAAGAAAGTCTGCGGTGAGTTCACCGCATGCGGTACTTGGTTCTGCTCTTCGCGGTGTGGAGAAGGAGCACAGGTAGTCCGGGAGGTCTACAGCCTCCGTCCATCACGGCCTGCTAGGCCTCTCCACGGCAGGGCCAGCTGCACAGGCTGCGTACTTTCCTACTACTAATTGTCTTTGTGCGGCTTCTGCCAACAAGGCCCCACGCATCCATTATTTCCTATGAAATGATGCAGGTGCCATCCTGTCCCGTTAAAATACGTGAGTATTTTATTGATCACTTTGATGTTGAGGATTGAATACAGGGCCTCACATATGCCACGAGTGCCTCTGAGATATCCCTCTAGCCCTGGAGGATAAATGTAGTTTATGGTTATACCATTTATCGAGATCATTCTTTCCCCAAACTGTGGCACATATCAGACTCCAAAGCCCGAGTTCTGAATCCATAGAACATTTGTCTATTTGCTCATCCACCCTGTATAACCTCAGTCCATCCTCAACTCCAAGTAAGTTTATTCCTGTATCTTTACCTGATCTAGAATGGGACGTTTGCCTTTCTGGGGGGTGTACCCACACACAGCTACCTTGCTTACCTATTGTTCACAGAGCTGTATGCTGTGAACATAGCTTTCAGTTTGATCTCTGATACAACTAAAGGCTTCCAGGCCAGAGGAAAATATGTCACGGTGCTGAATATATTCCCTAGTGATATCTAGTTTCAAAACATGGCAACGTTATCACCTATGAAACCCTGGTTTAGCTGCGTGAGCACCACAAGCTTCAGCATCCTTATCTTGTGAGAGATCAAAATAATATAGTCTTCTTGGAGTAATTGTAAAAGCCAGAGGACATTCTATATGTGTGCGTGTGTAATCCCACACAAATTCCAGGAATGCTACTAATGACACCCTTGTATTAAAATGTTATTCAAAGTTCTCACCTTTCTGAAAGATGCTTATTCTGCTCCTACTGGTGACATCTGCATGACCATCAACTCTTGGCTAAAGGCACACTGCACTGCAAAGGTGTGGTGAACACTACTCAGAATATTTTCTTTCTTGCTATTTTTTTTGTTGGTCATGGGGCCTGAACTCTGGGCCTGGGCACCGTCCCTCAGCTCTTCAGCTCAAGGCGAGCGCTCTACCACAGAGCCACAGCGCCACTTCTGGCTTTTTCTTTTTGCTTATGTGGTGCTGAGGAATGGAACCCAGGGCCTCATGCATGCGAGGCAAGCGCTCTACCCCTGAGCCACCTTCCCGGCCCCTCCAAATATTTTCTTCTAAGAGGTGGAACCTGCCTAGAAAGCTGGGGCCTGATGCTTCTTAAAATTTGCTAATCACATCTGGTTTGGTTTTAGACATTTTCTGGGGTTTTGCCAACAGCTAAAACATTTTAATGGCTACAATAAACCTCAAGGCCTCATCAAATCTTTGCTGTGTGTGTGAAGATTATGTCCTCTTCAATTAAACATCCAATCGCGGCTCACACGAAGGCTGTGGGGACGGCGGTGAGACCGAGTGGGAGAGCTGAGATGAAAGGCCGCCAGCATTCTGGCCATTTTGCCAGATGGTATTTAAAGGGGAAAGAAATTCATTAGAGAGCCCAGCATCTGCCTTTCCTTCAATGCGTCCTGGGCACCTTTCATGTGTTAAACACACTGGCACTAGCGGGCATTTTTTGTGTAAATGGTCAATGTGTGTGGGGTGGGGACGGCATTCCCCATTTGTTTTTGTGGTAAATTGTGTCTTTTGGAGTTGTTCGATTCAGAGGAGAGAAATAACTAAGGTGATGTTTGTTTTTTTGTCCTGAGGCAGCTTCACCAACTCCAGAAGATTCTGCAGATCTTGAAGCTGGCTGAGGACAGTGTGTGGACTGAAGGGCCTCAGTGGCCAACGTCGGGAGACGCCGGCAGCCGCTGCCCCCAACTCCCCGGACTCCCTTCCTAGTGACTTCTCTATCCCTGTCTATTTATCATCCAACTCACTAGCATGTCAGAGGGGCCAGTGCCTGGAAGAGAAGGGGAAAGATCAAAAAGAGATCACATTTCTCCTGAGAAGTCTACGCTGGGGTCAGGCCATGGGCTTCCCAGGGAGCAAAGAAGTGGGAGAGCTGAGCACTCAGGACTGGCCCTTGCTGCTGACTCTTGCTACCATCTGGGGGACAGGCCTGGGTCCTAGTCCCGCCTGAAGAGGGACTGAGAGGGCTCAGAGACGGCTCACGCTGCTTGATGGTGATATGAATCAACTTCCTCAGTGTAGATACAGACGAAAGTGTCCATTATCCGTGACAGACGGAAACAATGGCTCCAAGCTCACAGGTCATAGTCCTGAACAAAGCTCCCAGTGGGATGAATCCACTCTCCCAACCGCATCAACAGGGGGAAAACCCACACACACACTCCTCTAAAAGTAATTTACAAGGTAAAAGTATGCACTTGTAACCACTCTCCTGACTGAAGCAAGTTATATGCCCAAAGTAAAAATAAATGGCTTTCCCCGTCACTGGGAAAGGACCTGTCCGGCTCTGCCTCCATTTCAAAGCTGCTCTTAGCCTACAACGTGGGTTCTGACCACTCTTTCACAATAAACATTTTTTAATGTTTATTTTATGTCTTAGTGTAAAACTATTCCTGGTTGAAATTCTTTGCTCCCTCCAACACCCCTTCTGGCACACAGGGTTCCATTTCCACATTAACACGCTCCCTAAATCCTCTACAGCGATCTTCAGCTGGAGTTACACAAGCTCCAAGGAGAGTATTTATGTTTCTGGACAAGAAGATGTCTCCACAGTAAAAACAGTAGACGACCGAGACGCCAAAGGAAAATTCCTACTCAAGCAAGACATACTTTTACTTTTCAATAAAGGCAAAAAAAGGGGCTTTTGCAATATCACATTTTGAGTAACTCAAAATGTAAATGAAACTGTAACAGAATGCTTACTGTGGGTCTATGGTTGCATCCATACAGAAGCCAAATATATAAAGATGCTAGTGTACATGAGTGATATATGTGTATGTGTGCATATGCATGTGCATATATGTGTGCGCGCATGTGCGCAGGCATTCACATGTGTACACGCAGCAAAATAAGACAATGCATTTGCTCCAATTGTCAGTTTAGTCCAATGCCTCTGATTGACAGCATGATACAATTTCTCTAAGTCTTGTTATTTTCATCTGTAAACGGAGTTAAGACAGTTTCTCCTTATTTGGTGGTTATAAGGATAATAGAAAACAGCATGGTTCCAAAAAATAGTTGGTGCCATTACTAAAAAAGCCATACCTATGAAATGTGAGAAACTGTAGGCATGACAAGACATAGACAGTAAACAAACAACCAGCCTTCCTAAAAGAGAGCAGCACATCCACGCAGTGCCACCAGATGCTCGGGGCAAGGCCGAGCTCCACACGGCATGCAGCGGACCAGAGAGGGGGCGGGCCTGCTGCGCTCCGCGCACCTGACATAAACGGTCCTCCAACACATTTCTTAAAAACGCATCTTTGCAGTTATCACAGTAGCACAAACAATTCCTGTTACCTTCCAGTTGCCTCTTCAGCTTTCTTAAATCTTTCACGAGGTCTTCGAACCTGACCTGGGAGGCCAGAAGGAGGTCTTGTGGCTCAGGCAAGGGGAAGACACTCTTTTCGGTCCCGGCTTCCTAAGGGATATTGCAAACAAAGGAAGAGGTACATCTTCTCGCCCTTGTCATTGTCAGCTGAAAACGCATGGCACTGGCATCACTGTAACGCCCCCTCGCGACTCCCAAGTGTGGCCGCCACTATATTTGTAAAGCGTTTCCAAGCGCTGCTTCCTTTACCTGAGCCGGCATTTACTAGGGGCAGGTTTGGTGTGGTTTTGACAAGCTCCTCTGCGCTACCTCATGGAGGACCTAAGCTGAGAAGGCAGAATCTCAGGCCCGATGAGACCGAGACCAAGTGTCTTTCCCAGGCCTGCCTTCTCCCCAGACGCACGCACGTCTTAGGCAGCCTTCAGCGCTTCCTCTCTCCACAGGCACCACGTTGCTGGCTTCCCTTCACAGCCCGCCCTTCCTCACTCTCAAACCGCTTCACCAGGCGCCGTGTGATCTGGCCTCTGCTGCGCTGCAGCACCTCCCTCTAACCTTCCTGAGATGGAGACAAGGCCACAGTCTCTGGTCTCTAGGCCTTTGCCGCCCCTTCCCAGGAGCTCCTTACTCCTCCTTGTTCACCCTCATACCTCCTTAAAAGACTTCCTTTCAATCTCCAGGCTTGGGTGTTTCTTTCCTATATTCCAAGAGCCTCTGACACCCTGAAGACTTACTGCCTTCATTTAAAAACTGTGGTGCTAGCTTGTGCGTTTTCCCACTAGGCAATAAGCATCTAAAGGGCAAGAACTCTGCCTTGTTCTCAGGATATCTATAAAGCCTGGCATGCCAACAGACTGTGCTGGCCGGTGGGCACTGCTGTAGACAGCCTGTGTAATACGCTTTAGGAAAATCTGCACTTTTAGCCAGAGATGTCTAATTGATCACATTTCCTTGTGGTTTTAGGAGTTCCTGGATTCGTTCTCTTCCTTTAAGCTCCTTAGCTTCTCTATGGACACCAGGAAAAGTGGTCTTCCTCACTTATCAGAATATAATAAATTTATTTTTTTCCACTGTTCTACATTTATTTTATTGCTTTAGAAACACTGGGAGGGGTACCCTAGTCTAAGTGCTAAGACAGAACATCTAAGAGGCTAAATTGGTGAGCTAGCTGCAAGGACTCAGGAAGCAGACCATCTTCTAAAACTCCTTATCAGAGGAACACAGAAAATGCCAGTGGGCAAATCAGCCCGGTAGTAGCCTTTGCAAAAGCTACTCAGGGTTGAATGGAAGACTGTAAGTGGACTTCTTCAACCTGGACCTAGACTGAGATCCAACCCCAGGGTGGTTTCACAGACCAACGATCCCACACGCTGGAGAGTGAAGAGCATCGTGCAAAGGGCAAGCCAGTAAACCACCACACAGGTGTGGATGGATTTTTCTAGACTAGGCCACACCGGTGGTTGTGACTATTCTTTCGATAAGCTTTCCCTCCAGGACGTCAATTTCATTGGATTCTCCATTTTGTAGGACAATCCCAGCCTTTCCGCTTGGTAGAGGCAGACACCATCGGGTCAATCTGCTTTAGCCAGCATAGAGTTAGAAAGGTCTCCTGCCAGCAGGCAGGTGATGGAGCCTGCCGTCCTGGCATCTGAGACCCAGACAGGAGAGCAGAGAGGATGGTGACTGAGACCAGCCCGAGCCACACAGCAAGACCCTCGCTCCAACACGAAGCAAAAACAAAACGCGAGGGAAGGACGGGGGAGAGGGCAGGGCGGGAGGGCAGAAGGAAGGAAGGGAGGAAGACTGAGACCAGCCCGAGCTACAGCAAGACCCTCGCTCCAACACAAAGCAAAAACAAAACGGGAGGGAAGGACGGGGGAGAGGGCAGGGAGGGAGGGCAGAAGGAAGGAAGGGAGGAAGACTGAGACCAGCCCGAGCTACAGCAAGACCCTCGCTCAAACACAAAGCAAAAACAAAACGGGAGGGAAGGACGGGGGAGAGGGCAGGGAGGGAGGGAAGAAGGAAGAAAGGGAGGGAGGCATTTTATTTAGAGTCTCACTATGCAGCCCAAACCGGCCGCAAAACCCCAGTGTGGCCCTGCCTCAGCTGGGAGGACAGGTAGGTACCACTGTGCTCATCACGGAATGACCACTAAGTAGATGCTTTTTAGGGAGAAGAAGAGAAAAGGGAAGTGTGTGTGTGACTCTGAGAGGCATCAGAAGTAAAAATCCATTAGTAAGCAAGCGTTCTAGTAAGGGTGTGGTTGGAGAACATCATGTCTTGGATTAAATCACAGAATATGTGTAAAGGAAAAGTAATAACAGCTTGGATGCAAAAGACTAAAGTGGAATGGAATCGTCTCAACTGAAAATGGGGCACTGTTTTTGTTTTGAACAGAAGCATTCTGTCAGAGCACAGGTAAACGGGGTGGGTGGTGTGGAGGTGCCGCTGGTAGTGGAGAGGCGCTGGGAGGCACTGAAATCCTCCAGGAGTCTCCTTAAAGCCTCTGTGAACTGGGGTGAGCAGGAAGGAAAAATACAGACAATGAGCTTAGCTGAAGTCAGAGCAGAGCCAAAGGTGCCAAATGACCAAGATCTGAGGAGTTAGATCCATCTATCAGAGAGGGAAGAGATCTGATGGCCTGCATAGAAGCAGAGCAGTTGGGAGGGAGGGAGGGAAGGGCTAGGCAGGTTCATTAAGAGGAGTTAGATCCATCTATCAGAGAGGGAAGCGATCATAGAGAAGAGCAGGCCAGTGCTTAGCTTCTCTGCATGAGATCTTTCTCTTTTTTTTTGGTGCCTGGGAAACACTCTGCTTCCATAGCGAGTTAGGCCGGAGTCCTGACCACATGTTCCTTTGTGATTTTTCTCTGTTCATACTAATTGTTTTATTTCTCAGTAATAGTTGCTCTTTGTCTCACAGTGACTGGCTCTTTACTCAGTTCAACAAGAAGGAAAGAAACAGAAAATTGTGATCAGGTTGATTCTCACAGACATGTTTGTTTCTAATTGCAAATATAATCTAAGTAGAGGAAGGACTTGTTCAAATTCAGTGTCTCCAACTTGTTCACAGCTGCACTGTGGGTACAACGTTGGGTATTACTGTGTCTTGACTTCTATTTTATTCTGTATCTCAGAATCCAGTTTCAACTATAAGCAGTTACCGAATGGAACCCGAGTTCACAGAGAACCTCACAATGTGACCACAACGCAACTAAGGTGACTCAACAAAGCTGTGTTGCACACTGAGAATCAGCAGACGTGTGCCAAGAACAATTCTTCTCTTTCTCAAAGTTAACATTGCTCTCTTGGTTTCACTATTTTTTTTTTAAACCCTGGAGTCTGGAGACCATTCAGAGCTGGGTGTGATCCATCCATCACCCGATTTCTGAACGCCACCCATGTGTCAGAGTTGAAACCCCATTAGCAGAGTTTCTATGTGGTAATATTTCTTACCTGATCGTAGTAACGCAGGTAATACTTCACAACATAGTCCACCAGATTAATTCCATTATCCTAGGTTTAAAAGAGAAAGCAAATGACAAGCTGTTCATATGAGTCTCTGCCCTGGTTCTACAGTTGAGAGCAGATATCTCAAGTTTATGATACTGATACTTTGTGAGATTTGATCCTAATTTTGTTCAAAACAAACAAGATTTTCCTCCATTAAAAAAAAAAAAGTCAGCTATACAAAGAAATGCCTCTACCCTGTCGTTTGTGGGGAAAATAGATAGCTTACAAGACCTGTGAGACCATGCCTAAAACAAACAAGTAAACAGAAAATTGGTGTCTCATATTTTCTGGCATAAAGCCAAGACAGGAGACAGGGGTATTAAAGGGAACAGAAAGCCCTCCCTCCCTTCCCACCTTTCAAAAAAAATGTGTTTTCTTAATGGCGTGAAAAACTATCAGAGCCAACTTAAAAGGAACCACGCCACTTTATGACCCCAGGAGGCCAGAGAGAGGCCCTCCCACAAGGCAGCCTTTGTGTCCGGTTCACAGGGGTCTAATTCTAACTGGCCGGAGCATTTCCCCTCCCTCCACCCTCTCTGCCCCCCATGGGACCCCTTGATATGGGCTGGTTGTTTCTAAAGAGGTAGCCCTGCAGGGGTGTGGAGCCTAGTGATAATCAGGCTCAGAGAGCTGACCAGAGACTCCAGACCAATTGTTGTGAGGGAAAGAATTCAAACACTCCGCTAAATTGGCGATTCCACAGTGTTGTGCTATGCAGGGAGTAAATTACAAGTAGCCAGAACTAAATTCAAACACACTCCAGCCTTTGCACCACAATTAATATTTTAATGTTTTATCTTCCACTGCAGTAGTGGCTCGGATTACTCATGTATGCTACACCAAAAACAAAAAAAAAGGAATTGTGTCACTAAAAATAAGATCTAAGATGAAAAACCTATTTTTACTCCAAAATCCAAAGAAAGTAGAGAAGACAATTCATGTTCTCAAATACTTGATTACTGTTAGGGGAAAGAAAGAGCAAGAAATGTAACACTCGGGAGCACTTTTTGTTATTTCTATCAACAAAGGCAATGGAAATAATAAAAACTCATCAAAAATAGATACCCGACTCTTGACATCCTTGAGTTTGGGCAGAATTTCTAGGCTGTAGCCATCTGCTTGTCCTCGGGTCCTGTTCCCTCCATTCATATAATTTCCAAACGCCAGGATGAGGGCCAGGATGTCCTTCACGCTCTTCATGCTCAACAGGCCCTGTGAGGACAAGCACGGGTGAGGACAGGCCCAACTCCAACCACACACAGTCACTGGGTTCCAGTAGTATTTGTACCAACCAACCACCTGATGGCTTGTTACCAAGAGTATTAACAGCGAGCGAGGTGAAAATACACGTTAGGAAGCCATCGGTGTCTGTTCTTAATGAAAAGAACTAAAGCCATATCTTCTACACACTCAAAAACTATAAACAATACACGTCCTAGTATCGAGGATGGAATCTCCATCTTGATAGCTGCACTTGACTTAATTTTATTTTTCATTCTTAAAGTACTTGCAGATTGATTTAAGGAAGTTCAGAGAATTAGGCTTTATTTTTGGTGGCCTCAAAGTAGATTGATATAGAATGTCTTCTCAGGATCTGTTTGGGGGCGATGTGCCTATGCAAACAGCACAGTTAAACACAGAGTAGACACAGGAAATGGGAAACAATGCATTTTGAGGTCATAGGTTATGTTTACAGTGCTTTTAAATGCACATTTATTGTTTATATATATATTTATATAAACTTCTACCATTCCAAGCCACTTAGGATTTTCTTCAGCTCCCTTATCTCAATTATTTTTCCTCTCTTTTATTTTTGCTTCAGGTACAAAATTTTCAAATGGAAGCCTTTTTTTCTCCTTTATAGTCTTACTTGTTTGTCTTTTATTTTAGGGGAAAGAAAGTAAGCAAAACTCTCTAGGCAGCTTCTGCTCTTCCCCGTCGGGGTACTTGGTAATATTTATGCTTTCTTTATTAGCATCGTTATGCAAACCTCTAGGTAAGCCATGAAGTACTCTAGCACGATGTCGAGGTACCTCACGTCCCCCAGAGCATGGATCGCCGTGTGAGAAAGCCAAAGACTAGAGTTTAACTGTCTAATGCACACTAGTACCATGAAGCCAACAGACTTATCTGCCAGTCATTCATGATCCAGTCAGTTATTTCGCCTGTCAAATCTCTAGAATCTTCTAATTTGGGATATAGACAGGTTTGAGGTGATCAGGTATGAAGGTCTCCAGCAAGATTCCCTTACGCAAGTTGAAGAGGTAGAAAGGGAACAGAGCACACCGTCTGGACTGCTCCTTAAGCCTGTAAACTCCTGGCTGCCTCCTCTTTCTGCCTGAATCTGCATGCCCTCTTCCTTCCTTCCTCTCTTGGGCAGGCCAGCCACACACTCACCTTCGGAGAAAGCACACAAGGTGTCGACAAGGCACTATGGCTGCTTTCTCTGACTCTCCACTCCCTCCTTTACTGGACCCCATGGAAGTCAGGCCAGCTTTGAACTTCACAGCAAACATACCTCAGAGGCTCGCGTGACAATCTCAATCTTCCGGTGTAAAGAGTTGATGCTCTCAGAGAAGACAGATCTGAAGATTATGCACTGGGCACGTTCGGCAAAATTAGGGATCTGAGCTAACTCATGTAAAAACCTGTCAACAGAAAAAAGAAACACTGAAAAAAAATCATTCTTCCATGAGAACAGTGCTTGTTTGAAAATTTCAGCTTGTATTTATGAAAGGTACCAAACAGGCTGTCTAAAGGAGTTACTGTTCCCAACAGGGCCACTGTGCTGAGGGTTTTTATGGCGATGAATAAATGTATGGTGTATACACTTAGGAACACAAAGGCTATGCAAATGTACTAAAGAAGTTCTCTGTGGCTTACTACTCAAGTAGGGGTGAACTTGAAATGGAAAGTCTTTTAGTTTATGAGAAAAATGTCAGAATGAGTTCTCTTGTACTGAAGCATTTTCTAAAAGTACATCCACATGGGCAAGCAAAGTAGGTTCTTCATGTGAATACCCAGTCGACTGATTAAAATTCTTACTGTGGTAAGATGGCTTCTGTTTTCGCTCACTTATATAAAAGTCTGTAACAACCGAATTCTCCATGTCAACGTACTCACATAGGTAGTTCATAGCCCAGTATGTGGAGCGAAGCAAGGAGACAGTTAGAGCTTCTTCAAGACCTGGCTTGAGTTGGGTACCGACCTGCACACAGTAGCTGACTGTCTGAGCAGTTGGCCACTCATCCTGTGCGAAATTAAACTGGAAGAGCTACACACTGTCCAGGCCAACTACCAGAGAAAAGGATATAAACTAAACTGTGTGGAAACAGCTGGATATGAGCTTAGAAAGGGAGAGAACCAACTCATGGTCATCAATTTCATTTTGAAATGATGGCTGATATTTCTGGAAGTCTTAGTCAACTTATAACAACCATTACCTTGACATTTTGCAATCTCCCACCAAGAACACTTTATAGGGGAGCAAAGCTGCAGCTCTTTTTTAGTTAGTTTATTTAGTTTTGAGACTTTCTGGATAGGCAGGCCAAGCTATGGAATGGAGTTTAAACTTTTTCCTAATGAATGACAGGTCATAAACAGGGAAATGATCCTTCAGCTTTTTGTCTCATGCAGTCATCACAGTAGTGCTTAGCTGGAAATGACAGTGGATTCGAGGCTGAGGAAATTACTGAACCACCACTGTAATCTTCCAAGAGGGAAGGAGCTGTGGGCCTGAGTGGGTGGGAGGGGATGGATGAGGAACGTACCCAGGAAAGAAGACACAAAGCCATCGACTGATCCCATGAAGATTGAGAAGAGTCCTGGTTGACCTCTGGGTTTTGAGTTTAGATATGTAGAATGTGAAAATGAAAAATATTGGAAAAGCAAATTTGGAAAAATATATATATTTTGTTGGTCATGGGGCTTGAACTCTGGGCCTGGGCGCTGTCCCTCAGCTCTTCAGCTCAAGGTGAGCGAGCGTTCTACCACTTGAGCCACAGCGCCACTTCCAGTTTTCTGATGGTTTATTGGAGATAAGAGTCTCACAGACTTTTCTGCCCGGGGTTGGCTTTGAACTGCGATCCTCAGATCTCAGCCTCCTGAGTAGCTAGGATTACAGGCGTGAGCCACCAGCACCCGGCTAGAAAAAAATATCTTTAAACTACTTTCAATTCAAAAATAACCAGGCAAATACTCGAGGAAAGGCTCCTTTCCCATTTATCTATTTTATTTATCAGAAGAATAGGTTAAAGGCTTGGAAGCACAAGTGTCCGATACCTTGTTCCACCGCTGTTTTATACTTTACAGATCGTGGACAGTAAGCCTTTTATGTGTTCCCAAGCATAGGATTTTGAACACTGGGCCTTGGTGCTTGTAAGTATCCATTACTTGATTTCCTGTGATCGTCTGACTTTATGTCCAGGTTCTATGATTACGCAACATGGAGGAAGCCCCACATGAGGGAGCGTTCCCTCTGTATCTAATGCGGGCATGGGCCCCAGGAAGAAGCGTAACTTCAGCTGACACATCCACATGAGAGAAGTTCTGTGCTGCAGAACCAACCTAGCCAACAGGTGACATGGATGCTATGTGGCCCCTCTGGCACCACCATTCTCTAAGCCTCTGGAGGCATGTGTTCGCACCAAGGCTAGTGGTAGAACACAGTCTCACGTAGTCACGTGCATGCTTCCAGAAAGGAGAATCCAGTGCGTGAGGCCTAAGTTAGCTGTGCATCTGCCATTAGAACAGGCCAACAGGTATGGAGCGTCTCCATTTAAGGCCATGGCAGGGGAGCATCGGCTCCACCAAATCCAGAAGCACCTCCTCTCCCCTCACCACCCTCTCTGGGCGGGAGGTAGAGGGCTACCCCCGGAGGGTGCGGTTGTCAGACAGCCTCGTCCCAGATGACACCTCTGTGGAAAATGGCTTTCTGAGCCTGGCATGGGGGTGTAAGCAGCTGATGAGGTGAGAGGGGCGTCCGGCCTCCCCACGCCGTGATTTATAGGACTGGGCGCCACAGGACGCTGGGGAAACCGTAATGCTCAACCATAAATGAGTCATGCTTTCCAGTATGTAAAACATCTTTACAGTCAATCACTGGGAGCTAGTGGCAGAAGATGTGCCAGAGAGTCAGATTTTGGCATAAAGCAGACAAATGCTGTACTGTGCTGGCGGTGGAGAGCAAAGGTGACACTAACCCAGGGCCCTGGACCTCATCTACCTTCCACACCTCTCTCTCCATCTGGCGGCCCGCTGCCTCTGCAGCACAGCATGGCAGCCCTCTCTGCCACAGGACACAGCTGTGAGTGGTCACAGAGCCGTTGCAATGATTATGAAGTGCTCCTCCAGCTAGACAATCAGCACAAAACCCAAGAACAATGGGCTGTCTGATGATCAGCTGCCACCATTATTCTATGTCCTGGGGATTAGTTTCGAGAAGCAGTGCTAGAAGGAGGATTGCTTCTGGTGGCAGAAACACCGTCTCTCCTGACTGCTCATCCATTCGGCCAAGTGGGTAAGGGGTTGGCAAATCAACTCTGTAGGTCTAATTCAGCCTGCAGCTTATGTTCTGACTTAGGAAACTTAAGAATCTTGGTTTTCATATTTTTAAATGGTTGAAAAAGAACCAATAGAAGGTTAACACTGCTGACACGTAAAAGTGACATGAATTCAAATTTCAGCATTCCTAAATAAAATCCCATTCCAAGAACAGCCGTGTTTCTTTGCAGCTTTTGCACTTCAGAGGCTGGCTTGAGTAGCTGTGACAGATCTTTTGACCCACACACAATAAAATGCTAGCTCATCCTTCACAGGAAAAGCATTTCAGTTCCATTCTGTTTCACTGCCTAACCCCAGGGCTTGATATGCCCTTTGGCCCCAAACGCTTCCCACGATCTTATTAGCATGCCAGTGTCTCAGTGTTCATGGCTCCTCCTCAGCCCTTAGGAATTAGGTTGTGACACTAGCAAACGCAACTTGGGGTAAGATGGTGGCTGCTGACGAACAACAGTGGACTGAAGGCAAGCTCCCATTTGAGCTGACTCCCAGTGTTCCTAGGCTTGGGACTTGGGGGTGTTGGATTCAGCTCCTTGTGATAGGAATTCATCTCGGGTTCCCAAACTACCAGTAAGGTGTGGTGTCAGCATCTCCGGAAACCCAGACCTCTCTACCCACCCATATCTCTGGAGAACCGGACGGGGCCCTGGCAGCTCAGAGCCCCAGGAACTCATGTGTGTCTTAGAGACTCCAGGAGCCCAGGCAAGGACAAGGCACACACGGAATGAGAGTCAATGGAGAGGAGAAGCTGGCTCGGAGGGAGGTAACGAAGCTGCCGCTGACTTGGGAAGACCAAGGACAGAATTGGGGGAAAGCAGGCATATTCAAGCTACATGTACTGATTATGACATGGAAAAATCAATTTGAATTCTGTGGCTCTGATATCTTTTCAACTGCATTAGCAAACCCTAACATGGAGCAATGCCTTCTTCCTTCCCTGGTTACGCTTTTGGTTAGGATGTTTAGTCTAGAAGGAATTAAGGAATTGGTAGGACAAGGAAGGGGGTAGGGGAGGGGGACACACTACCCAGCAGCACAGATCTCAAGTCTGCTTTTCCCAGCAGCTGGATCATTCTTCCGTCTGCGAAAGGTCACGGGAATGACGGTGCTGTAACTGAGCTCAGAGCACAGTTGGACTTGGGACAATCGGAACTGAGAGGCAGCAACACAGAAACTGCGGCTGTCCTTCCGCCCAAGGAGGACAGAGTTCGAGTGTCCTTACTGCTCAGGTTTGTCCAGCAGCTTCAGGTCCTCGTCTTTGGATGTCTCATAGTACTTTCTTATTTTAACCAATTCATCCTCTTGGGCTCGCTGTTTGGGAGAAAAAGTTCATGGTGGTTAAACATATGCAATTCTCTTTTTGGCACAAAAGACCACGTGGTGTCCCACTATCCTAGCTCTGGTACCAATGATGGAAGCGGATTGAGCAGTTTGGTAATGGGCCCCGCCAAGGTCCCTGGTCAGACAGTAGTAGAGCTGGACCGCACACCTCACCCGCACAATCCCAGGCTGGCTCCCATCTCAAGTGTCAGCCACTCACTGGGCCTAACGGTAACCGTCCGGGCTGGCATCAGCGTTCTTGTGGATACCAGGAAGTCACAGGCACAGGCCAAAATTAAGCAGGAAGCTCATCTTCATGCCAGCGGGCAGCAGGGCCAGGCTCCGGGCACCTCTGTGGTGGCTACTGTGGCTCATGATGAGATCTATGCCCCCAGCTACCTCAGTGCCGGGTGAGACCCTCCCTCCTTCCAGGCTTGCTCCTGTGCACGCTGGCATCTCCATTCCTTAATCTTTTCCATGCTATGTCAATGCCCTGTCTAGCAAAGAGCATGAGTGGTCTGGAGATTTTTAGAGAAAAAAGAAACGATGGACACTCCGGCTCTGTATGCTTTTGACACTCACATTTTCATATAAGGCCGCCAGGGTCTCCAAGTCAACCACGGACTCATCCACGGTAAAGATGGCTGCGGAAGAGAAAAGGCCAGGGTAGGGCTCTGAGGCGGTCCCAGGGAAGAGGCCCAGTCAGGCCTCTGGGCCCGGGTCAGGCCTCTGGGCCCGGGTCAGGCCTCGGGGCCCCGGTCAGGCCTCGGGGTCCGGGTCAGGCCTCGGGGCCCGGGTCAGGCCTCGGGGCCCGGGTCAGGCCTCGGGGGCCCCGTCAGGCCTTGGGGGCCCCGGTCCGGCCTCTGGGCCCCGGTCAGGCCTCGGGGGCCCAGTCAAGCCTCGGGGGCCCAGTCAAGCCTCAGGGCCCTGGTCAGGTCTCCAGGCCCCCGTCAGGCCTCGGGGGCCCCGTCAGGCCTCGGGGGCCCGGTCAGGCCTCTGGGCCCCGGTCAGGCCTCGGGGGCCCTGTCAGGTCTCCAGGCCCCCAGTCAGGCCTTCGGGCCCCGGTCAGGCCTCGGGGGCCCTGTCAGGCCTCGGGGGCCCTGGTCAAGCCTCAGGGCCCTGGTCAGGTCTTCAGGCCCCCGTCAGGCCTCGGGGGCCCCGGTCAGGCCTCGGGGGCCCTGTCAGGCCTCGGGGGCCCCGGTCAGGCCTCTGGGCCCCGGTCAGGCCTCCAGGCCGGGCCGGGGAGCGCCTGGCACCTCGCTCAAGCTCCCCAGGCTGCTTCTGCAGCCCTGCCTTTCCTGCACACCAGGGGGCTCGCTCCTATGACGGCCTTGCACCGGCCTTGCACCGTGCCCTGCCTGGTTTAATTCCTCAGGCCCCATGTCCTTTCTGCAGTTTAATTTAGGCTCCACAGGAGAAGTGTTTGTGCTTTAAAAGTCAATCAGTTTGTAGGTCTGAAGCACAATTTTAAATCTTTCTTCCCGGCTGGTAATTGAAGAGATTTAGCACTTAATGCACCAGAACTGACTTGTGCCATTACCAGAAAGGGAAAGAGAAAAAAGAAAATGTTGGCAAATTAAGTGAATTCAGGCATGTGATTTCAGGGACCTTTCTATGGCCACCGCAAACATCTTGTTTGGGTTAAAAAGACAAGAAAGAGTAATAATTGCACCAATAGCAAATTAAGATTACAGAAACCTCCCGTGAGTCAGTCTTAAGACAAGTTCTTATTCTCGTGATCACACCAGGGTTCTCTTTGTTGCTGTTTCTTGAATGAGCCATTTCTCTGTTAACTCTTATTTTTATCATCTCATCTTGAGAAGCCCCTTCCCATAAATTCTGAGATACAAACATTGAGATTTTAAAACTTTAATGGATTTGGCTATCGAAGTGTTTGAAATTAGCAGGACACACATCTTTAAATAATTATTCAAAATTAATAAGGTTTGTTCTTTAACCCACCTCCCTTCCCTGCCTTTACATTGTGAAGTTAACCAGCCCACTAGTAAATTTTCTCCATGGCGGGCTAATTAATTTTATTAAACCCACTGGTGATACTCAGAATGTCTTCAAGCATTGCTTGTACCACTATTCTGTCCAACCCTGTTAGGCTGCTTTTTGCCAGGTTCTTCTGACCTGGTAGGGATGGACGAGGTTGCTTTTGAACTGTATTTCTCCTTCTGTAGTTAAGAATCATATGAAGTCCTAAGTATAGCACAAATACCTGTGGGTATTGGTGTGTGGTGTGTGATTCCCAGGGAATGAGTTCCGCTAGATGTGAGGGACAGTTTTTTGACAAGTACATGGGGTGTTGAAAAAGAGAATGCAGAGACACAGAAGGAGGGGGCAGGATATGGACAGATGAAAATATTATATTGTGAGAGGAATGAAGCAAATAGAGAGACTAGTAGGGGAAATGTAGAGAAATTTAGGATTAATGTAAAGTTTCCACTTTAAAATCTACATATGTGTCTTAACAATAAAATTTTAAAAATTCAAAAATGGAGGAAACAGTATCAAGAGATCACTTGAGTCCAGGCAGCTATGTACATTATTTCTGTTATTTCTGTCTAGAATGTCCAAGGAAGGAAAACCCCCAAAGCCTCAAGTCCTAGGGTTTCTAGGAGAGTTAACTTACATGGACATAATGCCACTGCCTATTCATCCAATAGAGTTCACACTGAGGCCCAGAACTCATTCCTGACAATTCTGGATTAAAATATTGGAACAACGTATTAGAGAATCTGTGGATGGTCTCTGGTTAAATCATTCTTGAAAGCACTTACATTAAAACTATAGATCATTACCTACATAAACCCATCTCGTTAGTTAATTAATGATCACAAAGGGTAAAGAAATCAATCTCTGATTAAAATGCTATTTTTTTGAGTCACTTAGGATCAGGCAGCTCCACTTTGTAGTATAAAAACACATGGTCTGCCGGGCGCCAGCGGCTCACGCCTGTCATCCTCGCTACTCAGGAGCTGAGATCTGAGGATGGCGGTTCGAGGCCAGCCAGGGCAGGAAACTCCGTGAGACTCTTATCTCCAGACGGAGCACCATGAACCGAGCCAAAGGCAGGGATGCAATCTGGAGTAGTAAAAATCAAACCTCTTCCAAATTCTACCATCTCCTCTGAAAACACTTCCCCGAGAGTTACAGCCTCTCACAGAGGTGTCTAAAAATGGAAGCAAGAGGTGCCCCAGGGCTCTTCTTTCCAGCCAGGACAGATAGTTATTTCTCAGCAAATATGTCCAAATTTAGTTATACACTGACTAGAAAATGGTTATATCCTGGAAGCCTTTCCATTATGAATCTTTAAATCTAAAAAAGCTGAGTTGAATCCAGAAATAAGGTAAATAAAAGCCGGGCACCAGTGGCTCACACCTGTAATGCTAGCTACTCTGAGGATTGCAGTTCAAAGCTGGCCCTGGCAGGAGAGTCAGTGAGACTCTTACCTCCAATAAACCACTCAGAAAACTAGAAGTGGTGCTGTGGCTCAAGAGGTAGAGCGCTAGCCTTTAGCTGAAGAGCTGAGGGACAGAGCCCAGGCCCAGAGTTACATTAAAACTATAGATCATTACCTACATAAACCCATCTCGTTAGTTAATTAATGATCACAAAGGGTAAAGAAATCAATCTCTGATTAAAATGCTATTTTTTTGAGTCACTTAGGATCAGGCAGCTCCACTTTGTAGTATAAAAACACATGGTCTGCCGGGCGCCAGCAGCTCACGCCTGTCATCCTCGCTACTCAGGAGCTGAGATCTGAGGATGGCGGTTCGAGGCCAGCCAGGGCAGGAAACTCCGTGAGACTCTTATCTCCAATAAACCACCAGAAAACTGGAAATGGCGCTGTGGCTCAAGTGGTAGTATACACAAGACCCTGGGCTCAATTTCTAGTACAAAGAAAAAAAACAAATGAACAAATGAATGCCACCACCACCACCAATAACAAAACACACACACACACACACACACACACACACACACACACGCATTTGTTCACTTTCTATCTTACAAGATGAATTTAAAAATGCCATTCCACACAGTTTCATAGTGTGCCACAAGGCCCTGCTGCAGCAATCTGCAGCAGTCCTCGCTTCCTGTGGGCTTGTTACCGCGGCCCTCCTCCCGCCGCCGCCCGTGTGCCGGCGGTGAGGGCGGGCCCAGGTCTCGGCTGCCTCGGAATCAATCACGGTGGTGGGTTTCACTTTTATCTCCCTCCCTCCTTGTTGGCCTGCTCACACGGTCAGTTCAGTGAGAATATTTCAACCTCACCTCACAATATGTCAAAAGGAAGTAGACACACGCTGTGAAAAGCTGGTAATTTTATTGGGTTCCTTTACCTTTAAAAATCTGTTACTTGGTTGAGTCTGGTTTCTGGGCTTCTTTTTTGCAGGGAAATTGAGGCAAACATTTTTATGTGGTCTCTGGTGCCTGCTCTGCACTCCAACAGTTATACACACAAGGATCATTAGAGTAGTGTTTTGCCCATTAAGATATAATAACCATCAGCAGGGACAAAGAGCAGCTCAGTATCACAGATTCAAATTAACAGGCACACATAAAAACTACATGCCTGCATTAGGTGCACCCGCTGGACTGGGTTCTCCTACAATAGGCAAATTGCCTGTCTAGGAGCCAGGCTTTCACTGTGTAATTCTTTCTAACCTTGAACATGTCTCTATCTCCAACTCTACCATGTCCATAAATAAAACGTGTGCTTGCTGTTTGAAGGACTTCTAATTAATGAAAGACAAGGAGAGACGCATGTGAAGTTATTGTTTTCTTTTCCTTTGGGTGGTGCCCGTGATTGAAACACACAGCTTAGGGGCGCAATCTACCTCTGAATGGCGTCCCCAGCCTGGGAGATGCTCTCTTGGACTGAAGGAACATCTCTGGAAGAGGAAAGTGGGAGACCTGGGACACAGAAGGTGCATGCCTTTGTCTGTGAGATTAACGAAGAAAAATGGAGCCGTACACAGTGTAGAAGACATAACAGACAGCTTGAGCTGGCTCACCAGTCTCTGGCTGGTGATGGCTTTAAGAATAATATTTATGCAGTCTGTTTTATTCTTCGTGTTTCCTTTGGTAATTGACAGGATTATCTTCCCAAAAGCCAGTGCCTAACAATCGTCTACAAATGGATTCGATTTATTCTCAGCCAGACATTGCTGATTTCCAAGTAACATTAAACTTCCTCGATTTGCTGAAATTATTAAAGAATGTTAAGGGTTCAATAAAAGTTAGTTGTTAGAGAAAAGGGAATAGAATGAGCAAAGTGACAGAGAAAGCCTTTTTTTAAAAAATGCCCACACAACTTAACGAGAAGCTCTCAGAAAGCTTCTCCCCGACTGTTACCAGGGAAGGAAAAGGTAAGCAGTGTTCCGGAAGGAGACAGAGGTGGAACTGGAGAGCTGAAGGAGGCGGGGACAGGAGCCTCTTCCCGAGGCTCAGCTCCCAGGAAGGAGGGTCAGGCCGTGGAAAAAGCGGCAAGTGGTGAAGGGAAGGGGTGGCAGGAGGAGAGCAGAGACTGGGACCGTTCCCAGGCCGAGCAGAAAGCCAGACCGGACCTGCTCCGGCTGAGGAGCCCGTGACAAAGTCACAGGCCGACCACGTGCCCCACATCCCATGACGCCAG